TTTTACATCATTAACCTATAGATAAAAAAAATCAAAAGTATTGAAATGAACTTATTACAAATTAACACTTTAAGAATTTTAGTTTACCTTAACACCTAATTTTTTTGCTAAAGCAGATTGAGCTCGATTTTGATCCAATCTTGTCATTGCTGAGAAATTTTCTTTTGGAATAGATGGTGCATAGTGTGAGCATATAAGGGCATTTGTATTAGCCGGATTTCCAACAACCAAGACTTTTACTTCTTTTTGTGCAAATTTATCTATTGCCTCCCCTTGTACCTTGAAAATCGCAACATTGGCAGCTAAAAGATCTTTGCGTTCCATTCCTTCTTTTCGTGGCATAGAGCCAACTAAGAAAGCAGCTGCTACATCATTAAAAGCTATAGATGGATCGGTTGTTGGTGTAATTTCTGTAAACCAAGTTTTTCATAGCATTGTATTTTATCTTCTTATTAACTTTGCATTTTTTGTAATTTTCAAGAAAGAAATTACTTTTCATAGTATAATTAAATTCAAATATATCTTTTCTTTCGCATATTTCATTTGTATATTAACAGCAAATAAGTGTTTATTATCAATATACTGAAGTATTACATAAGATTTTTGTTACGTAACGTGTCACCTTTATCTATGAAATATACCAAACTCTGATATGAATATATAGATGTTATATACTTGAATAAAAAAATATATAGTAATGAAAATAAAATTTCAATTCATTTACCTCTAAGAAGAGGAAGTGCTAAATCCTCAAGTTCCATAATTACTCCATCTAAAACTTTCATCATGGGTGGTATATCTAATAATCTAAGATTAATTGGTTGTTGTGGACCAAAAATTGATCCCGATGAAATGTGATACAATAAAGAATAAGCAATTTGGCCAGCAGCCCCAGTTACAACAACATTTATCGGCTCCATCTAAAACCATGAAAAACAATTTATTTTTTTAATAAAAAAAAATGTAACTTTTGGAAACATACAAATTAATTATACAAATTCAACTATTAAAAAAGCAGGCACACATGTGAATTTATAATATTAATAAAATAATATATATAATATCAATAAAATATTTATTTAAGATAACAACTGGATTATAAAAAGGATAACATATGAAATATTAATGATCTTGTAAAGAGCGAAGGTCAAATGTAGGTTACATTAATAGAATGATAGTTTCATTACAACAGTTATTACTCTCTTAAAGTTCTTCGCTGTATTAAATAAAATATTTATATTTTTGAAACAATAATTACAATAAAGATACAAAAAGTTTACCTTATTTAATCCTTGACAAGTATTGATAATTGATAATTCAACAATGTAACAAAGTTCGATGAAAATGCTATCAAATATGTAATCAGGCAATGACGTTTAATGCTTCCATCGATGCACTCACTGGATAGAAGATTTAATAAGAGCGCTGGAAACCTACTCCTATTTAACCAATGAGAACGTAGATCGTGTTACTTTAAATAGTACAATTTAATATTACGTATAAAGTAAATATACATAATATGTTTTGTTAAAAGTTAGGAGGAAATCTACTTAAAAATAAACTATAATAATTAGAGTTTTGTTTATATAGATGCATTAAACTTCGTCTCAATTTATGATTGGTAGCAAACTAAATTCCTATCTTTATCAAAGTCAAGCTAGTATCTATTTTATCTCTAATATTTTACAGTATTATAAATATTCAATTACAGTGTTTTTTTGAATATTTATAGATTTGGCTGTAAAAAATTTGTATATGTGAATTTTCAATTACATTTGTTCGAAATATAGAAAAAGATTTTAAGAGATTATATAACTTTCTGTAAATTTATAATGTTTAATTGTGTTATTATAATATAATTATAATTATAATATTTTTAATTATTCAAACATTTTTTTCTAAAGTTGCTATTACTAGGTATTTTATTTTGAATTCACGGATTGGTCGAGTACTTTAACATTAGCCAATCATAGAAAACGTCAGTGTATCAAGATAGTGCTACGTAAGAAAGTTGACCGTAACCTAACTACAGTGATTACTTTATTGTAATTTTGACAGATAATGCGAATTTTAACATTAAATTGACATTATTTTATCATAACGTTTTTTTCAGTGTATTTCTATTAATATTCTTATAGTTTCATTTGTCTAAGCGATTACGAACTGCAATACTCATTTTTTTGTGAGACAACATATATTTATAATTTAGCTCTAATACACTTCACGCAATATGAAGTTAAGTACGGATTTGTATGATAACTTATATCTGTAAGTATTTCAATTTTAATATGAGTTGTTAAACTTGTTAAATTTATGTAGGAAATATCTAGAGTTTTTAAGTTTATATAAGCCATTCACACACACACATAGGCCAAAGTGATTTAAATTTCTACTTTTAGAGTGTTTTTTAATTTTAGTGCAGAACTCTTAATTGATGCTTAACTTTCTACATTTAAAATTAATTTTCTTAGTAATGAGCTTAATATCATTAATTAACAAAATTTTATATGACCGTGGAACAATAAATGATATGATAATGTATGTAACTTCAGTAATTTTTTTTACTTTTTGTTTTAGGAAGTTGATCAATTTAACAAATGAATGAGACTCTTGTGCACAAAATATCTTATATTTCATTTCTTTCAGGTATGCTACACCAGAGAAATTTTATGTCGAACCAGTGGGTACTAAGGTATTACTTGTAGTTGATAGAGTAAGTCAACAAGTTTATACTCAAGGTAAGTTAGATTTTATATATTCTATTATTTACAATTATGTTGCTAGATAAATTTTTTTCCATTTCTAGTTGGTACTGCCAGCTTAATACCACCTACAGCGAGTCGTAGAAAAATATGGGGAATAGTAGGAAATATTCGCCTCTTAGCGTGTCGTTATCTTATAGTAATTACAGATGCGCTAATGATTGGAACAATAGCAGGCCAACAAATTTATAGAATTGTTTCCACAGATGTGATACCATATTCGAGATCATCTTTACATTTGAGTGAAAAACAAGTACAGAATAATGCTACATATTTAGAGATGGTTAAATCTGTTCTAAATACACCTTACTTTTACTTTAGTTATACGTACGACCTTAGTCATACTACACAAAGGCTACATAACACCACACCCGAATTTTTACAAGTTAGTATTATATAGATATTCTAACAGTTTTTCTCTATATATTTAGCATTTGTATTAATGTGTCCATGATTTTCTTTAGATGACACTTCATGATAGGGCAGATCCTCGATTTGTATGGAACTCTTACCTTTTACAAGATTTAACGGCAAGGGTTGAGTTATACAAATTTTGCTTGCCTATTATACATGGATGTATCCTTTTTAAGAAAGTTATATTTTTCAAATGTAGCAGTAATTTTTTTACACATTAGTTTTATTTTTTATAATTAATCTAACAAATTAGTTTAATCAATATATTCCTTGACATTCAATATCTATAGTTGTATCTCTGAACGCTGTTGTTGTCAATAATATTGCATTCAATTGGGGTATTGTTTCAAGGCGTAGTATTCATCGCGCAGGTACAAGACTTTTTTCACGTGGTATAGATTCTACTGGAAATGTTTCTAATTATGTAGAAACGGAACAGTTAATTGAGCTAAATGGATATCGTAGTTCTTTTGTACAAACGCGTGGTTCTATACCTTTATTTTGGTATCAAGCGCCAAATTTGAAATATAAACCTAAGCCACAGTTAAGTGTTCATGAAGATCATCAAACTGCATGTGCCAGACATTTTGATTCTCAGATTTTCCATTATGGAAAACAAATTTTAGTAAACTTGGTAAGTTATGAGATTTTAAATTTATGTATATAATTTTTGTCTAAAGAAATGTATATTTTTTTCTAGATTGACCAACATGGGCCAGAAGCTACATTAGAAAAATCATATCGAGATGTAGTTCAAAGAATTAATAATCAAAATGTACGGTATGAAGCTTTCGATTTTCACGCAGAATGTAGAAGATTAAGATGGGATAGATTAAATATTTTGATGGACCGATTAGCTCATGATCAAGAGCAAATGGGCTATTTCCTTCTCACAAGAGATGGACTATTACTTTCTGCGCAAGATGGTGTTTTCCGTACAAATTGTATTGACTGTCTTGATCGCACTAACGTTGTTCAAAGTATGTTAGCAAAAAGAGTTTTAAATGAAATATTAGCAAAGCTGGAAGTACTTCGAAAAATCGAAGATCATCCCTCTTTTGAGAACCTTTTCAAACAGGTATCTATTGATATGATATAATAAATACATTAGAAAAAGAGAAAACTTCGTTTATTATTTTAGGTATGGGCTGATAATGCAGACGTTATAAGCATACAATATTCTGGTACTGGTGCATTAAAAACTGATTTTACACGAACTGGAAAACGTACAAAATTGGGTGCTTTTAGAGATGGTATCAATTCATTAACAAGATACTATAAAAATAATTTCGCCGATGGTTATCGACAGGTACGTAATTTACTTTGAAATATATGGTTCAATATTAATTTACATATTTTTACAGGATTCATTAGAACTCTTCTTAGGTCGCTATATTGTGCAAGATGGCGAATGTACTTTGATTCAGTGTCCTTTGGAATCCGATCGAAATTGGCGATATGCTACATTCCCACTTGTTTTGCTAATTGCATCATCGATGCTTGTTGCACACATTATTCTCCCCTCTCGATATACTACAGAAGCTTTACTTTATATGTTATTTTGGGGTGCTATGGTTGCTGGAACTTTTGCAACCATTATTCATCATGGAAAGCAATATGTAGATAAACCTAAATTAATATAGAAGGAATATACAATTCCTTTTTAAGACATATGCACTATAATAACTTTATAATTAACAAGGAAAGATAATTTAAATCAAGAAAAGCTTTAACTTCATACACATTTTATTGTTGGGCCGTTAAGTAGAAATACCTTATTGTATGGAAGTTAAAGAGGCATCTGTATATTCTTGCATTCCATATGATTTTTCCTCATGAATTGTAAAACATTATAGTGCATATTTTCATACATTTTAAAATGTACATATATTCTCTATGAGATGGACAAATGTATGGTGGAATTGCTTTTCATTGTTCTTGAGAGGTTGTTTTAGGTGTAGGTTTTTTGATAATTTTCAATTTCTTTAGTATTGTGAATACTATATTATGTTTCAAAGATAATTGTTCATCGGGATTGGCTTTACATCTTGAAATAAACTCATCCATCGTATTATATAAAGTTAAGTCCTTAGTTTCTGGTAATACCTGTGTTAGTAAGGCACTTAAAAGCGCTGTAAAGCCACAAATTGAATTTGGCACCCACCATCCATAAATAACCTATAATTGTAATAAAATTATATTTAACATCTTTATTTCGAACGTCCAAATCTTTTGGATTTTAGTGTATTATATATGGTATTGTATCTTACGATAAAAATATTTACTTAGAAAGAAATACAATAATCATAAAAAAGCATTTGCACTATAAAGTAGAGATATATATTCCTTTTTAAAAAAATTTATATCATATGTTGTGCAATTGCACGATTAAGTAGATTATAATTTTACGTCAAAATATATTTCAGCGTTTATAATATATAACATTTTTAGGTAGATTAACTAAAGCAATTGGTATATATAATAGCACAATGCAATAAAGATTATCAATGAATTTTGGAAAGTCCAAATATGCTTTTTCAGGGATTGTACAATTTTACGTCCCATTTACTATTCTGCACGAAATGGTATTTGGAAATCGTAGTACTGGTATCAATTACTAGAACTTATAATTAGGTTGAAAAATAAATTATGGAAATTTATTTAACGAATTTTCGATATTTTAACTGATTACGAAGAGCAAATAAGCTAAGTATGTATATATAATAATAAATACATTTGTATGTACGTGTGTGTACGTACATAGTAATCATGAATGTGAACCTGTTTTGCATGTATGCATACAAAATTTAATTTATCAACTGCCACGATAAGCAACGTTACGCGAAATATTTCATCAGCCAAATTATTTATAGTCATATACTTGAAACCAAAGTACCTCCTAACTATTTTATATTTGTATCTATTCTAAATCATATTAATGAAGTTAAAAAAAAGCTTTGCAGGGAAAAATATTTTTTAATATATTAATAATACTTTTGCTGTAATAAAATTCAATAGGTAGTAGTATACACTTTAGTATTAATACTTAAAAAAAAAAAAAAAAAGAAATAAAATAAAACAGCCGTAAAATACAAACGATGTAGATATTTAATTGTGTTAATAAAAACTTAACAGCGCGTTTATCTGTTTTATTTCTCAAGTTTTAAAAATCCATTATATTTTGAAAAAAATCTTTTCTATTAACTTACAAAATAATCCACAAGGTACGGTGCAAGTGTACTGCCGATGTGTGCCCATGTAGAACTGGTACCTATTGCTATGTTTCTCATAACAGTTGGAAAAAGTTCACTACAGTGTATTATCACAGCAACGTACACGCTACTAACGCAGAGCTTACCAAAAAGAGCCGTGAACATTGTAATCATTTTCAAGTGACTTGGTACAATGAGAAGAATTGCAAATGCTCCGGATGCACATAGAAGTAAAGAGAATGATGTACCTCGCCTACCAATTATATTTAATAGAGGTATGACTATGATGTAACTGAGCCCTTCGGCTACACCTAAAAAAACGATTATAAGCTATGAATGGAAGCCAAAATTTTTAAAGAAAAGTATTAATTTACCAGAAAGTCCGGTGTAAAGATAGGTGTCTATCTTTAAAAGACTAGCGGTAATTAATAATGCGTAATAACTCATAGATGTAGAAAACCAAATGGTCCAATTGAGAATTAATCTAAGACTCATCTCTTTGTTTTTTAAGTATCCTAGACTTTTCTTTAATTCTTGAATACGGGTTAATTTTTTTCCTTTCTGTATCGTGACACTCATTCTTCGTTCAGCACTAACGAAGAAGAAAAATGAGAAGAGATATAGTTGAAGAAATGAAATAGAACGTATTTTAACGACCAATTCGATAAGTTCGAAAACATACATCAGTTGTTGTTGCTCGGGTGTTACAAAATTTTCTACCATCCTCCAAGCACGCGCCTTATGTTTTGAATAATAAAGCCATCTAGGACTCTCCGGTATAGCTAACATATGCAGAATCAGAATGAATGCTGGCAGGGAAATATAAATTTGTAATATTCTCCATTCTCTTATAAAGTATGCAATTATTGCTATTAGTATCATTCCCAATGCATAACTTTGATTGAACATCACTCCTAAAGTGGAGCGCAGATGCGGTGGACATATTTCTATAACTTCAACACAAAGATACATTTTATTGATCATTGATTATTGATTTTTGATAACGATATATAATATATAACTATATACATATATAATATATCTAGGACTTTTTTTACACGATTTATTTTTAAATGAGTTTTTAACACTTTTTATTCGTGTTTCCATGATTTTTTTAATGCTTTCTCCTTGTTTGACACCATATTTTCACATATTTTTAAAAATATTTCGAGTGAAAGTGATTTTTCTTCAAGTATTAAGAAAACATAATTGTTTTCGTATATTGGAGAGTAATCAATTAGTAGATAGTCAATCAATAGAGTAGTCAATTTAAAAAAGATTTTTTTTTTAATTTTTAAATACACTTTATCTTTTTTCTTATATGTTTATTAAATAAAATGTTGTTATTAAATGCAGTTGCAATAAATGTTGTTATTTAATGCAATATAGATATTTTACATTATTTTTTTTTTATTGTTTGCTTTAGTTTAACATATTTTTTATTTATTTTTAGTAGCAAATCAGTAATTTCACGAATGTTTTTACAGTTTTTTTTTTACACGGTACGCTTTCATCGTATAAAAAGAGTCTCAAATGTATATCCACTGAATTTGTATTTTTTGTGATCTATTGAAAATACCATGATTTCACATTTCAATTAAATCATCAGTGACAAACTTGATATTATATATAATATATATTATATTGCATGTATTATATCTAATAATTTGTGTGAACTTACGTATCGAATAAGCTGCTTGATAGATACCGATTCCAGCTACTCCGAGACCAACTCTGCAGATCAGCATGATGATATATTTATGTGTAACGGCAATAATTGGTCCACTAATTATGTAAATCAAACAAGAAGCGAGGTAGGTTATTTTCCTACCATATTTATCAGCTAGCACTCCAAAAACGAAGGCGCCGACGAATTTGCCAACGGAAACTGCAGTTTGAACTGTAGCTTTCATTACTAGACGATCGCATACGATATCCCACTATAAGAAAAGATTTGTAGCTTGTGAATTATGATAATAATTCGTAAGAATTTATAATAGACGAAATAACATGATCGTTATCTTTAATCTTATCATTTTTATATTATACCTCTGGTACGAAAGATGATTTCTCATATTCTATTTCATAAGAAAATTCTTTGCAAGGGATGGTTTTAGGCTTTTGATCGGTGTTCACTTTCTGCAAAGCTGCATCATAGCCTATATTTGCTAGTTCTTCGTAATTCCAATCGTAATATTCGCAGTTGGATAATTCGTCTGGACTAAAAAGAAAGAAAGATTAACTTCGACCGATTTAACGCGACAATTCACGCTGTAAATTTCTTTCTGCATTATTCGATATACAGGTATATATACATATATATACTGTTATTCCATCATTCATACACGCGTGATAATTTATTTACGCCTATAGTGGAGCGAATATAGAATTATGCCCAGATGTATCTTGTGTTTTACATCGTTGATCGTTCGTTCGTAGTACGACGTATCATTTATCACCCTATGAATGCCGCAAAATTTCGTATAACGACGGTAAGAATAAAAGAGAACTGGGCAGGGCATTGTGATCGATACCACTACGTTGCCATCATGATGCAATTTGTCAAGTTTAATGAATACGTCGTTCCTCGAGTTGCTTTGTCCATTCCTCTCTTCTCTTCTCTTCCTACATTCTCTCTCTCTCTCTCTCTCTCTCTTTCCCGATTGTGAATCAGTACGAGAACATATATCTAATTCGATCCTATTGGCATTAGTTCGGATTATCAACCACCTGAGACTGGATACAGCTCGTATTTGCTCGGGCGTCCAATTCGCTTTCTCCAATGTTGGAATCGAGCACCAGTGCTTTGGTGAAACGCTGTAGAAGACGTAGGACATCACGTGGAAACCATTTAGTATACACGATGTGAAACACAGCATAAATAACCAAGCGATAAACCATGTCCTTTTACTGTATCTGCTAAGAGCTATTTCGAAGTCGTCCTTGGTCAAAATGGCATCTATCAGTAGTGGATTCAGTTTTTCTGTCAACGTAATATTATAATTAGTACACGTAATATTATTAACATAACATTTACGTAAATAGTAATATTTAACTTACGTTTAGATATATTCGGAATCATTATTTGTTCTTCCTAAACGTATTTGATTGTGAATTGATTTTGTTGATTATGCAACATTTAATACATACGTTTTGCAATATCTCGCTAACTCTCTAAACTATTCTATTTATAATTGTAATCTTTTAAATAATACAATTATTTATTATTCATCTTATTAATTTTTATTAATTTATGCTAAAATTTAAGATCCATATGAATGATTTATAAATTATTTATTATTAAGGTGTATAGATTTTCAACAACGAATCTTTTACTATAAGGAGTAAATATCGTAGTAAAATATATATGTATAAGCTTACGATATACCAATCTGAAAATATCCTAATGAATTAATTGTGATTGGCAGTAAATTTTTTCTTCAATAGTTTATTTACAATACGCTTAAGACAATAAATCTTTTAAAGATTTCGTATTCTTTAAATTGATCGATTCTTGACTAAAACAGGCTTCTTATGTAGTTGCTATGATACGAATTGCTAAACATTTCTCTTATATATTGGTATATGCACATATCATACACATGTACTTTTGTTTTAGAGACCTATATGTCATGATTCAACATGGAAATTAATTTCCATAAGATATCGCATGGCCAATCACACTTTCTTATCTAAAATCTTATTATTTGTGTTAAGGTTACGTGCTAATCCACACGTAAATTCTTTAGGTCTAATACTTAAGGATCTTCAATAATAATGTAAAGTCACGTGTGGTCTTAAAATATGGCTTTATTTATTTTCTACAATACAACTCTCCAATAATTTTCCAATAATTCTAATCATTATAATTCATAACTAATGCGTAAAACGATAATCATCTCATAATAATAACAAGTGACGAAATGTACTTGCTATCTTTTTCTGTTTTCCTTAATTATGGGTGGATTGTTTCTTAGAAGTAATTCTTTTTATTTGTATTTTAACTTGAAATTTGCTCTTGATAACGATTTTCTCTCGTTACTTATACCTATTCCAGATCGTTTAGGATCTAATGGAATGAGTAATGGTGGGTTCTCTTTAAAACGGACAAATCTCGCTAGAATAAGGAAATTATTCTGTACTATTTATTTGTATTTTACCTGATCGGGTTGATTGTTAGTACAGCTGTTCGACGAAAGGTATGAAGTACCTTTGTTTGCTTTATCGTTAATACACATATATGTCATACCATAAAAACATAACCTATTGTAAACGCATTAGATTCTTTACAATAAGAAGAATACAAAACGGTTGATCTTCAAGGTTCATACAAATATTGTTTTATTCTTATTAAATTAGTATATTGTAGTTGTTTTTTGGTCAAAGAATCATAGGTTTCTTGTTCAAAAGTTGTTATGTTTCTTGATCGAAATCTGTTGTTGTATGAATGAATGAACTTCTGAATCAAAGGTTCGTGTGTGAATAAATCGGTAGTCCGATTGTTATTACTTGAATTATTTGTCGTGTAAACGCAGGATCGACGAGGAATAAAAAAAGGGAAAGACAAGAATTTTCTCTAAACTATTTTTTGGAAGAGAAAAGAAGGTTCTCCTATTGATCGCGGGTGTGTCTTGTTTTCCTGTATAGAGTGTTTAAATAAATGAACGTGCTGTCCTTCGCATGAGATGACCATTCTACAATATAAGTAAAGGATTTCTAAAATCAACAAATAACAACTCTTATTTGGCTTCGTTTAGGATATTATTTTTGGTTCATTACCTGCTTGGCAAATTCACGAATATTATCTGTTCAGTTGTAAATTCAAATAGAATTAAAATTTTTAAAATTATTTTATAGCCTCTTCTAAACAAAGTTTCATTAAATCCTTAAATTAAAGTATTAGTTTAGTTGTGAAATTATATTTAATAAAAAATACTTACACGATCTATATATAATTTTGGATTTTTATAAACGTTGCAATGCATATTATTATGTAACAAAAAATAGGGCAAAAAAATAATGAAAGATGAACAATAAGAAGAGACGAATCGTAGAAAGAACAAAATAGAAGAAGAAAAAGAAGAAGAAGAAGAAGAAGAAGAAGAATACACGCTAGCGTCATTTCCGAAGGAGGGCAAAGCTTTCTAGTGGCTTTGAGCTTCTGACAAACGGTCCCCCGTAACTGGATTCGTTTTATAAAGTTCCGACGAAACGTGGAGCCTCCTGCTATTAATTGGGGATGGTAACGGACGAGAGTGTGAGAAAGAAAGAGAAAGAGAGAAGGAGAGAGTAACACCGACGACGAAGAAGATGGGAGAGAACAGACTGGAGGTCGACGAGGGTGATTAATTTGATTCAATTACAAACTGAAGCAGATCCGGGGCATCGATTTTATTGCTATCAGCCCCTTTATCTGATTTTCTCACCCCGTGAGCTCAACGTAAAAGAGAGAGAGAGAGAGAAAGAGAGAGAGAGAGAGAGAGAGAGAGAGGAAGGAAAAAAAAGAAGCGATGAGATTTCACATAGCTTGAATAACTTTTATATTTCCACTTGGAGAGAGATTCTTTCTCTCGACTTTGGTCTATTTTATTTTATTTTCTTTTTTCACGGCTCTCATTTTTTTTTATTACACCAGCATAATAGTTCGAATTAGCTTCCAAAAGGTGTAATCGAGTTCGGCCAAATTTTTCGAAAGGCTTCGTTCGAAGCGAACGTCGTTTAATGCGAAATCATTGCTATCAAGGGGATTTCCCGATCGGATCGATTTTGATATCGTTTTCATTTTAACGAAGAACGTAACTCGCCACTCGCTTCGCTAATATTCTCGTGACATGCTGCGTCGAATATTTTTATTTATTATTTTTTCCTTTCTCTCTTTCTCTCTTTTTTTCACTTTTACAACGTTAATCATAATCGAGTTCGACGGTCGTACGTTGTTTACATCCTAGCGTTAATTATGATATTTGCATATAGATAGAAATATGATGGTTTGACGATGAATTTGTCGAGTTTCTTTTTTTTTTCATTTTTTCAGTTCTTTATTTCTTTTTTGAGAAAAAATAAATTTTTAAGTAAATAAGTAAATAAATAAAAAAAAATAATAATTATAATAACAATAAGAACAATAATAATATAAGAATAATAATAATAGTAGGGATTTGACCTATCGGATAATCCATGGATTATAGTAATGCAAATCGAATATTCCAGCTTGATAATAAAGTAATTAAAAACGAAAATGCTTGATTATTTTTCGCGTTAAGCAGCTTTTGCAGTTGCATTGGAGAGACTATGTTGATTCGAGTTTAAAAGACCACTCGTAAATACATACACTATGCGTTGAAATCGTATCAGGCTTCATCGGTGTTTTTCTTTTTTCTTTTTTAGTCACCTCTGTTTCGCATGAGTTTGGAAAGAAAATTATCGACGATTAGAAATAACCTGTTGTTATTTTTTTTAGACTTTTGTTGGAAAAACAAATCATATTTTTTAAAACTTATAGCATAGTTTTCTTATAAATAATTCATTTATTTCAACGAAGTTGAAAAATTTTAAAGAACACTAACATAATTTTATCTTTTTATTCAATTATGATATAAAAGCAAATATATTACTGTTAAATTTTTCGATTCTTTATTTCAATATCTTTATTTACATCGTTCTTTCTAACATATCCATCTACATTCTCTATTCTTACACCCTTAGTTCAACCCATCATTACAAAATAATTTTGTTCAACCTTTCTGATATCACTCATGTCCTAATGAATACTCACACAACACTCATATACTCTCTTCTTTTTTTAGATACATACTTTTACATTCTTCATAGTAACAGAGAATTATATTTCTTATACTTTTACCTAAACAGAAAAAATATCTTCGTTTATCTTAGAATATCTATTTACATTTGTAGGAAAGTCGTTTTTACATTTTCTAGAATCACGTATTTTCTCTTAATATGTGAAAAACGTATTTATTCTATTCTTAAAATAGTACTTAAAAACTAACTAAAAGAAAACCATTGGAGTACATATCAAATGTACACATGACGCAAATAAATTTACTTAATATTTTAACAATTACAAATCTTGAGTTCAAAAAAACACGTGTTACGTTTATATTTTGTATTATTTTGTAAATTATTTTTCGGTTTCATTTTATTGCATTTTTTCGATATGACATATTACAATAAATATAAGTTCTTAAGTTTTTAAAAGTAAGTAAAAAACAGAACAAGAAAAAAATTTTGTAAATGTATATATTTAAAAAACATTTTAAAAACTGTATAAATAAACATACATAAAAAGGAATTTTAAAAAGATTTATCTAGCTCTCATTTAAATAAATAATTAATTTAGAGACACACTGTCTACACCTACATTATATTAACTATAGCCACACTCTTAGGAAACTTTAATTAAACTAATTGTAAGAGATACAAAATACGTATAAGTATATGAGTATGTAATTTGAAAGTTTCATGGTGTTATCGATGATTAATTATTCTCTCTTGTATATTATATTTTCATAACTTTGATTACGTTTTAATTTTTCTTTCATA